TGCAATGACACGCTACCGCTTTCAGGTTTAGTAAGCGTACTAAACCCTAAAAGGGTTTTTTACTAAACTTTTGAAGCGGTAGCGTGTCATTGCATTTTGCTAAACCCCTTTTGGGTTTAGTAAACGATGCTTTTTTTTTAGAGTGTAGTTCAACTGAATTCAACAGTTGATATTCTAAAGTACCCAGTGATTTGTTTACCCACTGAAGAACAGAGTACAGTTATAGGAATAGCTGGTGAAAATGGTGTGGCTATAGGATGGGGCATAGTCAATTCATCGACGTTTGAACAACCAGATGCATTACAGCAGATTCGTTTACCAATATTAGATCCATTATTACCGCAATGTAGTGAGATAATGACAAATGATCGTTCACAGATATGTGCTGGTGGTATAGAAGGACATAATACATGTCAGGTATGTTTGTCTTTTAAACGTACATTGGCTAGAGTAAAAAACGGCAATGACTTTCTGCTATTTTCGCTCGATAACCGAGAACGCAATCACCTGCCACGAATAACGCCTCCAAGGGTATTCCTTGTTCTGAAACACATCGAGAAACAGAAAACAGTTTAGTGTAATGGTTGTTGGTAAAATCGTTCTCGAGTTTTACAGATAAACCCTTTTTGTAATTCATTTTTTGACTCTTCATTTCACGTTGGACCAAGCATAAATAACCAAAATAACCAAATAAATAACCAAAAATTCTCTTCAATCGCAGAAACACCGCTACAGGAAATAGCTAATAAGAAACGACCAGTCTAAATAACCAACGGAATGAACAAAACTAAATACCACAGAAAACGTTAGATTCAAATCTGATTGTGTATTTAGAAATCAAAACATACTGAGGACCAAGCATAAATAAACCAACGAGAAAAATTCAGATACATTTCGGCCGTAGTGTCTATCACCCATCGAAATCGAACCAGTTCGAAGTCTCATGAAAATTACTTTTCTTACAAATTTCAGAGTAACGCATCCATCGCAATTCGTTTCGAACGATGATGAAAAATTTGAAAGAGTCTGTCCCAGTTCGAATTCGAAGTTTGATATATCGCCATTCTAATTCGAACTAGGATGAAAAAATGTTTTTTTCTAAACTTTTACAGTAAAGGGTCTATCACTCGCTATTGTTAAAATAGTAGTTATATTCGAACTCGCATTAGACAGCTAGTCATAAATTTAGATATTGGAAATTCACGAGATTTTATTGCATAGAAACCAGAAAGACAAACACAAAATTTAAGATCTACTTGACTGACTGACATACACACACACGTATATATACACATAGTAAAATTTTACTTTCTTTATCTTTCTCTCTTTTCTTTATATGTTTTCTAATCCTGGTACGAACAAGAATAGTCTAGTACAAAAAATGAATTTTCTATGACCGTACCGCCAGTAACGTCCTGTACTACTATTATTCAATTTTTTGTAGTTGTCAATAGATTCAAGCAGGATTTCTTTTTAAATCTGATGTTCTTTTTGATAAGGGATGCCGTCAAATCGCTTTAAGCGCTTTCTATATAAAAGACAGTTTTGCGCAAAATTATAATTCACAGAAAACATGATTGGCTCTTTAAATACCTTGGATTTACGTGGACGCATAAGCTTTCAGTGGAACCAACAGTAGACCATTGTCTTGAAAACATACAAAAATGTTTCGTCAAACTCAAGTGCCTGAAAAGAAATAGGATTATCTCTACTCACGTTCTTCGCCTGTGTTTTTTTCGTATCCTTTTCCTTTTTTGCATGGTTATTCCCGCTTCTCCCTATGTTACGGGATACACAAAAAGCATCACTGTATAGAAAATTTCGCGTAGGATCGCGGATCGTGCATCGCTGTTCCGGGGTTTCAGCTCACGACATTTTTTCGTCAACTAATGAAAAAGATCTCAATATTTATGCCAAAAAATATCTCGAAAAAAACTTTCGAATGTGGATCGAACTGACTCTCTTTTCTTAAACGATCTTTTCTTTTGGGATAATTTTGTAAATAATAGAACGAAGTCATTAAAGATCGATCATTTCTATCAATAAAATCGTGTACAAAAGATGAAAAAAAGACGCGTATCTTTACTGTTAAAGTGGTTCACAGTCACTGATGAACACTAGGAGCCAATTAACCAAAAATATAGATAGCTTTTCTGTTCTGTGATATAATGTCTCTCTTAAAAACACGTGCTGTCTAATATCGTTCCATCATCTCGATACTACTTGTATCACTCTCTGTCTATATCACACGTGTCTCTATCTATAACATCTTCTCTCTATAACTCATCACAGAATATACAGGCTTTGATCACTAATCAAGGATATAAGCTGTATGGGTTGAGCAGTGGGGCTAGAACACATTATAACAATGCACAGCATGGGGATCAGAATACCTCAGAGTTTACTTTTGGACAGTTTAGTCCAATAGTAAATTCTTTGCATTTGAATCAAAGTTCAAGCGTTCAGTGCAAGTAAATAAAAGTCTGTTGATAGTTTTTTCTTGATTTAGCTACCACTGGCTCATCGGCAGTGTGTACTGATGGTAAGATCGCTTAGTTAATGCAGATTTGTTTCACAACTAAAAGTATTTCACTTTGTTGGCTTTTTCTGTTAAAGGTTGTAACTTGCTTGAAACTCTTCTCGACTTTCATACTATTGGTGTGACAAATTTCACAACTAACCCAGTACCAGACGGTTATGGTAATTTTCTATGGACCAATGCTAGATACATGAATGCTTTCTACCATAATCCATTAGCTGGATATTATACTGTTCTCTGTAGTGGAGAGTATATTTTATATGCTGATAGTACATTTATAATACAAACAATAACAAATGGTACAACATTTGCATTAAGTTCACTCTTTGCATGTGCTGCATGGAATGATAATCTTCTTGTAACAATACAAGGTGAACTTTCTGGCACTGTTATACAAAGAACAACTGTAACAATTCAACCATTTACACGTACACTTGTTAATCTGTATTGGTCAAGTATTGATACAGTGATACTGACTACTAGTGGCGGAACACATAATGCAAATGTAGTCGGTGGTAGTGGAATAAATATTGGTATTGATGATATGTGTGTTGTCATATAGGAACACCCTACCTGAGCCGATGGGCCGGTGTAGAAAAACGAACTATGTAGTCGTGATCTCCACGGCCTGAAACCCTTGTACATTTAACAGAAATGCCACCTTTTTTCATAAAATTTCGACGGTTGTGATCCCACTGTTTATTTTCACAGGGCTGCTTTTTCAGTGGCCCAAAATTCGGGCAATACTGATTTTTCATGATGCCTGTATTCAAATTGTAAAATTTAGGGAAGCTATGGTATATGTGGACAGCGATAAAAAAGGATGCTTCTTTCGTGCACTCTTTCGTTTTTTCTATTACCAATTCATTGGATGAAAGTTTCAAATTTAAACAAGAATCAAATGAGATTTCATTTCCTGTTTTCAGTTTTTTCTGACCAACTACGATTACTGAGATATTCACTATTTTACGTGTGGAAAAATGTTATGAAGAATACATGATTCCGGTTTTGGATGTAGTGAAATTTAGGGAAATTGGGAGAATTGACAGTCAGTCATTTCCTGCCTCAAGGAATTATCATGCCTCTGTTGACAGTTGCTGGACATGACAAAAATTCCTATTTTTTAGTTCTTGGATAGACCTCAGAAGTACATGAGTCACGACGTTCCTATGCCATCTTGAGATCTAACCAACGATGTTCTGTTCTTTCGACTTGAAACAATTAAAAACGCGTTCTTTTAGAAACACATTCTCACAGTCACAGAATACGATTGATATTAAACGCATTCAAACGCGTTTGCCAAGAACGGTTCTTATCGATCAGGAACATATTCAATGACAACACGCTTGTCCTCAGAAGAAACGAGTTCGTCCTTATTAGGAATGCCTCTGAACGAGTTCCGAGGTGGTCTTTTTAAATCAGAAGGCGTTTTTAGTCGATAAAACCCGTTCCATTTTTTCGGGAACGTGTTCTTGACGGGGTTCCCGAATTTCGCCAATAAGACTTTCGCCAACAGGACATTCGCCAATGGCGAAAGTGCTGCAGTTTATTGGCGAAAGTCCAGTAGACGTTCGCCAACTGGTAAAAGTACAAGAACACTTCGGCGAAAGTCCAATGGACTTTCGTCAATTGACTAAAATCCAGTACTTTATTGGCGAATATCCAGACATGATGATATTTTTGAAGACCAGATTCTAAATGAAGAAAAAGTTGAGAAGACTCATTAGAGAAAAGTGATAAGTTGGTTACCAATTTGTGTTGGTAGGGGCATTGCTCGCTTTTCTTCACCTGACAACTTTGCCTTTCTATATTCTTCTTCAATGATCACTTTGATTGGAATAAATTCATCGAGTACACGATTCTTAATCTTCGATATTATTTCACGTTTTCGTGTGTCACGCAAATCAATTACATGACAATGAAACTTTCCATTCCAATGACTAAACTGTCCAGTACTCTTGAATGTGTATATTACAGCTTTACAGTTTTCATTTCGTTTAACACAACGCCAACCAAAGTAATCTTTTGTTTCATTCATGTAAATATAACCATACATATTCAAAAAGACCATTTTGCCACCTGTTGTTGATGCACCAAAACTAATCTCGCCAGCAACAACTGGCTCGGCAGTGGCAGCATTGGAATCATCTTGATTAATAATATCATCATCTTCATTATCTGGTGGTGGAATCGATACAATGGGAAAATCAGTTTCTTCAATTTTAGTGGTTGTTTTTCTTGATGGTAATGTTGATGATGATGAAGTTGTTTGATGATCCTGAAGATGAAGAAATATTGAGTTAATTACTAATTATGTTTTTCTTTACCTTTTCTTCATTTGTTGTTGATGACATGAATTCCTGATTTGAAAATAGACGTTCGATCGACGTATTCATCTCACCATCTTTCTTGTTGTCCTCATCGTGATAATGATGTACAATTTGACTGGTCGATTGCTGTTCGACGCTAGAACATACTTCAGATACAACACAGGTAGCTGATGGTGGTTCTTCCTGTTTTTTTGTTTGTTGTTGTTTTTGTGAACGAGATTTCTTTTTGTTCTTGCTGGGAACTTTAACCGGAACCATCTCTTCCTCCTTAGGTTCCGATCGTAAAGCAGCAGTACGCGTTGTAACGGGCATTTTTTAATGATTATCTAAAACATCTCGTGACATAAAGGACTACGTCATAATCGAACATCACTAGATAAAACAATCGTTGAAATTTTTTCATTACAAATTTAAGTTACGCTGTAACTGGCGAAAGTGTGAGAAATGCACTGGCAGAAGTACAGTGGACATTCGACAATTGGCGAAATTCTGTAGGATACATTGGCAAAAGTCATGTGGACTCTCGCCAATAGGCAAAAATCCATAAGGTATATTGGCGAAAGTACGATGGAATTTCGTCATTGGCGAATGGCCAGTTGGCGAAAGTCTTATTGGCGAAGTTCCAGTAACCCTTCTTGACCATTCTTTTATATAAACTCTTTTTCATAAACTCTTTTTTCCGTGACCACCACAAAGATAGTCGAACTTCGAATGAAGTTTACCTGAATTTGTTCGTATTGATTCTACACCACTTCCTGTTGTTATTAATGTTTTCATTATTGGTAATCGTCTGTCAATTTCAATACTATTTGACGTTTCTGCTATGAGTAGAAAACACGAAAATCAAAAGAAAAACAGACAACTTATTGGACAGGATTGCTTCTTGTGTAGCAAAAAGTTAATGTGGCTGCGAAACACACTAATCAATCTCTCTCTCTAAGAAACTTTTTTGTTTCGATTGGGTTTTTAATGATGTTCTCGTGGATTTATTCGAAACTTAAAATATTTTCTGACCAAGTTCTTCCTTCAAAACTTCTAATCTTCCGTGGGATTGGATACAGAGTGTTGAATGGTAAAGTTTTACCATTATAATCATTATTATGTCTGCCCCACAAGCCTCCGATGAATAATAATAATTTAAATTGAATCTGAAAATATAAAGACGACCGGATCAAAAGAGTTTTTTTATGATACATTGAAACGATGAAAGTTTCATATCTAAAGGCAGTTAGTAAAAGAAACAAAATGGGTTCTTTGCGTTGTTTATACAGTGTATTGCCCTAGTAATCCCAAAGTATCTCTCGCGATGTCACTATTTCTCACAGATTGATCCAAACAGAAGGAACAGGCCAAAACTAATTCAAGATTGGATAGCCCACATAACGATTGTTCGACCATTGGAAACCACATTCATAAATAGCAAAATAATGGGGCGCTAGTTCCAGAGCCAATGTAGAAAGTTTCAAATATACACTGTAAAAAGTAAAGTATGCCCCCAGTACATGTACATATAGTTTCCACAAACAGAACGAGAAAAAAGATCGAAGAGGAGAATACTTCTTCCGTTTTTTTTCCATAGAGAAAAGCAAGATAAAAATTTAGACTACACAATGACAATTTGCACATAACTTTGGACTCGAAATGCACACTAGCGAGCACACTTTATCTTTTACAGTGGAAGACTACGGACGTTTTCTGAATAACTCGAGAATAAAGCTTTATTACTCAAAACTAACGAACTTACTGTATAAGTCTTTGCTGAGGAAGTACTGCGTTTAACGTTATGTGACCAAAGTTCACCACTACTATGACGAAAATACAACGAAATTTTTGGCATGTTTGATGAAATTCACACGTTGATGGCGGCAGTTCCCTAGGACTACCCCCTCAAACTTTCGTCATACATGACGAAAATGCGTTCCTCATAATGAGATAGTGTGGTGTAACGAAAGCGCCGTAACTCTTTGAAAATACCAAAATGCAACCAATGCTTGTAATACATTCAGTTCTAATGTATAATCATAAAATAATGTTTTTCTTTATATTAGACCTTCGCATTCTTATACTTGGCGAAGCATCGCTGACGAAAAAAAAGTCAAAGACATTTAGAAAACGCATATTTCAGGTATCTGCTTGTTCAAAGAAAAAAATATATTTTAAAATGAATTTATTTGTGACATAATCTTTGACTTTTTTCTTGAATATAAGAAGATAGCTGAACAAAAAGGAATTCAAATGTCACTGCGTATTTAGTCAGCATTTTACTGTATATTAATACTAACAGTTTGTTAACTACATCAGCCTTCTTTTTTATCTACTGGCACATCAGGATGTTGTCGACGAATAATTTCTGCTTTTATCATTGATTGTTGAACATGCTCAGGTAGTCCTGGATTCAGGCTTAATCTATACGGTAAAACCGTTTTTGGCATGTCATTGAAATCAACTATACATTGAATAAATATTGTATCATTTTTAACATAACTATTCTCATCCTGTTGTAACATTGACAGGGGAAAAAATTTTGGAATACCGGATGCTATGTTCATTTGTGTTTGAGGTTGTTCGAATGAATTCGATTTTACGTTCGGTCGAAACGAATCGATAATGTGTCGTTGCTGACCGGACTGATCAAACAAACAAAATGTAATTTTGTATGAAAATGGCCATTTTAATACAGCATCATATTCTCCACGCATAACAACAACAAATAACGATAGATGTGTTCGACGTGCATTACCATCTCCGTTTAAATACAATCTCATGCACATTTTATATCCATTTCTTGACGAATAAAATGGAGGTGAATAAACACTTATTTGTCTTTCTGACTGAGCAGCGTCGATTAAATTTCTTACATCTTCAACTACCCAGAGATATGTACCATTGTAAGAGGTCGATTGTAAACTATCTTTCACATCACCCACCTGTTGCTGTAATAATTCTTGATTTAATTGCATATTGTTCATCAAAGATTCATTTTCGTGTGCTACTATTTTCAACTCGTTCAATTCTTGTTGACATTTACTCAATGTATCATTCGATTTTACTAATTCAGCATCCATTTGAATACATTCATTTCTTAATTGTTCTATTCCATCAATTGACATTGATAATGTTCTATACAGTTCCTCCATTTCTCTACCTAAATTAATCACTTCTGTTTGCTTTTCCTTCTTCTCTACCATTAATTAAAATAACAGCTGATTTTAGATTCATAATTATTTAATTCATCTTCACGTTCATCTTCGATTCACTCTGGTCCCTTGATGTTAAATCATAGTGATCATCTTTTCTTCACTCAATTTAGTTATTAGCAGGCTGAGCGCAGACAGATTTCTGCAATATAAAGCAGCTAGAACGATATCAGGACGAAACGAAACTACGGATGCAATACTTATTTCAGCTACAAACGATTCTGTGTTGTGCGAGTTTCATGCAGAAATGCTATTCTTTATGGTTTCGAAATATATCTTGTGAACAATTCGAAAGCTTTTGAGTATGATATTCGTAGATGGTAGCCCAGTCCTCCTTTCTCTAGAAGTTTCAAACTAGGCGGATATACTGCCTGTAGTTGTGGCCAAATATTCACAAATTACTTTTAAGAACTTTAATGTAATTGACTATTCTCATTCCACTAACCGATCATGCAAACGCCAAATCGCAAACAGTCAACAATCGACAAGAACGTTTCAGAACTCAGGATCGGTACTTTTCTTACATTTTTTGAACTTTTGAAATTTTTAAAGATAAACTCATATTTTACCAAATACGTTCATGTATACTGTAATAAACAGTCACTTCAGTTTGAAGAAATCCATGGGCACGTCCTTGAAGAGCTGTCCCCATAGACGTTCCACTTCAGATGATAGTTTACAAACACAATAACAGACGGCTACTTTCTAATAGAAGACTCATTTGGCCGTGTAGATTGCGTCTCGGCGCTGGTCGCTAACTACCTACCGAACCGCAAAAACATCGGTGGATGCTGGGAGCTATGTTTACCTTCATCTCGCATTATTTGGATCGCACTAAACACCAGGAAAAACAGACTGTATTGGAAGTTCTCTTTAGATACTCCAGGCAGAGAAATCACCAGAATACTCTAGAGCCTAGATACTTCTAGGAACCAGATTCTATACTTACTCGTCTTTTTACACAGAATATCTCATACATCAGCAGAAAATTCAGAAGTTCATGAAGATTCGCAGCTACCCGAAGGCTATTCCCGTCGATTCTCCATAGTCAATTTCTTATTCTCATGTCCACCCAGTCAAGTTCAAGAAAACTATATGGTCAATAGGATCGTGCCTAGAAATTGGCG